CGTGTAAATACAGAATACTTTCTCTAGTGTGAGAAAGTGAAAGTGTAAATAAGGACTAAAAGATAATAGATAATGTGAAATAGGAAGAAAAGGGGCAAAGGGGAAGGGGAAGAAGGAGGGGTAGGAACAGGAAAGAAGGTAATGGAATTAATATGAGAAAATTAAAAAGTGGAAACAAAGTCTTTGTAAATAGGGAGGGATAGAGGGGCTGAAAGGAGGACAGGGGAATGGAGAAAAAATAAGAACCAAGAGAGATTATGTAGGGGTGCAAATTTCCAATGTTGAATGTCATTATATTGTATACCTAAAATTTACCAATAAAATTAATTTTTTAAAAAAATCTGTGAGAAACATTAACAAACAGTAATTCAAAATTGCAATAATGATATTGCTTACTATAGGATATCTATATTTGCAGTGTCTCATAAGCTAGAATTGGTGTTAGCTGCATGCAACACTACCAATTTATGTTCCCTTAATAGAATTTGAAGCTGTATTTATATCACAGTTTATTAGATTTTCTGAATAAGGGCTAACTTGCATGATTTTTTTTAATGTTCTAATTAAGAATGTGTTATGTATTGTTTAGGAAGCATCTTCTTATAATATTCTAGCTACTTTTTAAGATTTGATTACATAATTAATTATTGCTTGACTTTATGATATACTTACTTTATCATTTACATAGATAAATTGTATCTATGTATTTCATTTCATGGCCTCAGTAATTTTGAGAAGTAGGACAAGTATAATTAAAGAGATTTTACATATGGGGAAACTGGAGTTCAGAGACTTTTAGGAATTGCAAGAGACAACAGATTGCATGGAACTCTCTTTCCACTATTGCACAGAATTTCCCTACAGAAAAAGCTATACAAATGGCATATATCAGACCGCTTGTAGACTGTTAATCTTGAAGATGGTGCAAGTTCCTTGCTTTACAAAGTTATGCAACTTTTTAACAAAATTTTGTTTTTTATAAGCACTATGGAGAATTATGGAAATTCTGAAACGTATGAACATCTTTGTGCTTATTCTCTCAGCTGTAAATAAGGATAATAGAAATTTCCACCTTGACAAGTTGTTTGTGGGCTATATGAAATAACACCTGTAAACTCAATACTAGTTGTTTTAATCAAAATTGTTGTGAAAAAGAAAAATATATAATTCCATCACTTATAGTTTTGGTACATATTCTTCTATTCTGCTATAAAGTGCTATTTCTATACCACTATTTTTTCTTATGAGCATGACATTGGACTGGATGGCTTCCTAAAAACAGAACACATTATTCATCATTTCAGGGATCCAAGAGGTTATTATTTGACCTTCTCTCCCCGCATCTGAGACACTATGAAAAAGAATCATATTGGATTCATTCAGAGTCAAATTTGAGGCTTATTTCATATTCAGTTCAACTGAAAACACTAGTAACATTAAGTAAATATAACTAGTCCATATTCTTGTTTATAATACTTATTAATGAAACAATTAGTCAAAAGAATCATATAATTTAATTTTTGCTTTCAAGAAGCGTAAGATTGTTCTACAAAGCTCATCTCTCATCATAGTCTTTTAGAATTAGTCACAGATCCAAAAACACCAACAGTTGACATAAACTTATTGAAGCAAGATCCCTGAACATTCTAGGCAAGTGTTTTACCACTGAGCCACAACATAAGTTCTATATACTGATTTTTAAACTGAATTAGTAAGTAAACACTAATCTCAAACACTTGTCTTTTGTATATGAGACAAGATTTTTAAAAGTTGTTTTTATAACAATATTTTTTCAAAAACTAGGGTAATATTGAAATCTTTAAAATTTTCATAAAATGTTGAGGGCACAGGAGAGTATTCCTACTTGGTGCTCCCATATCACTTCTCTTAGCTTCATAGTTGGTAAAATTCATATATCTCAATCACAGAGGTTAAGTTAAGCATCATCCTAGCATGTAAAGAGCAAGCCTAATGATAATATTTTAGTCACAAATTTTAAAAATGAGGTATTTGGGGAATCAAAAATTTCTCTTTAAGTATTTTGATAATTATCATACTTTGATTTAGCAGAAGTGGTAGATTCAGTTGGCCCTATTCCTTATCATCTCTTTCCCATGTCTTTGCCACGTAGCTCTGAGGCTCTTTCCACAAAAGGCAAAGGATATAGGTGCTCCTCAATTTACAACAGGGTTAGAGCCCAATAAACTCATTGTTGGCTGCAGACATTCTGTCAAAAATGCACTTAATACAGCTAACCTACAGAGCATCATAGCTTAACCAACCCTACAAGCCCAAACAAGCTCAGAATGCTCTAACACAAAGCTTATTTTTATAATAAAGTGTAGAATATTTCATGTAATTTACTGAACACAGTACTGAAAGTAAAAAGTAGTATGGCTCTATCAATGCCCTTTTGCATTATGAAAATCTTAAACTATCAAGTAAAGGACATTTGTCCTTTCTTCCCTCTTCTCTTTGGACTTGGACATGTAGCTTGCACTGGTCAATAAAATATGGGTTGAAATGAGAGTGTGGTAGTTCCCGCCTAGCCCTTAGGAGGAACTGGTATATGTACTTGCTGTCTTGTGGCTCTGCCATTGCTTTAGGAGTGTATGACCCACATAGCCTGCTGGCCCGTGGATGAGTGCTATGCAAAGTTGAGGTGGACCCAGTCTGTGGTTACAGCCCCTCAGCCAACATCATCAAAGCTTCTCCATGTGACCCAGAGATGAGTAAAAAATAATTACTGTTGTATGTTGCTGAGACTGCATGGTTATTGATAAACAGCAATAGTCAATTGATACAAGGAGTAGCTTTAATTTTGAGTATATGTTCCACCATCTTTTAATACTCAATATTGTTCCTATTTTGGGAGTTAAGGGTTTCTTTCCCTCTAATAATTTAATAAAAAGAATGTTTTTGCAATCTACTAGCTTCCATAATTCCTCTCTTACTATTTTTAATACTTAGTAAAAATAAAAATAAACTTTAGTTTTTAGAAGGACAAGAGCAATTCATGTCTTGGATGGGAATAATATTTTGGAATCATTTGACAGTTACACTTTTTAAGTCAACTATTTCCAAACTACTTTTGGAAGTTGTGTAGGTTAACATTCATGACTATTTTAATTCTCATGCAGTGAAACTTCCTAATGGGATACCAAATAAAGTTATGGCTTAGAGCAGCATATTTCCTGAGTTTAATAACTCAACTATTTTAAACAAAACATGATACAGTTTTGGCTTATTACTCTTTCCTAGCAATGCATATACTCAACTGCAAGTACAAAGGCAACAAACTAGACTAATAGCTAGCCGAGGACCTATAAGACAAATGCTGTAGAACTTCAAATTGTTTCTAGCATGACTACTCTACACTTGAGGTGAAAATAAACCACATTCCCCAGCCTTTCTTCAGATAGACTTTCTGCACTGAGCACAGCACTCACCACACTAGTGTACTCTCACAGCAAAGTTCATTAAAGGAGGAAAAAAAATATCATGGGCAAAGGAGAAGATGGAAGCCTTTGGTGTTGTTGTTTAGGCTTTCCTTAAAAGGACCTGTCAGTCTCTGGCATCTAGAATACCAGCAACAAGTGGGTGCTAGGTAATGGTGCTGGCAGCCACCACTGCTGGAGCTTTCCTCTTTAGCTGGAATCAATTCTCTAGTCAACAGCAGTGGCAGTGGCACCAGCTGCCTCTTTCTAAGGTGGATCTGTATTGTAAGAACTATTCTCCAAAGCTCTGTGTAAAGCCTACTTCTTCAAAAGTTTAGCAAGTTGTTTATCAAGTGATTTTTAAAGGCAAAGGAACTTGCCTAAATGTGTGCTACATTATCTGAGAAAAAAGGTCTCAAACTAACTCTACTCATCTCAATAAAGTGTTATAACCTTGAAGGCTGCTGAGAAAAAGGCCATCTTTTACAGAATACTGAATGAATTATAAGGTCTCCTATTGGTTTTTTATTTCCATCTGATGGAAATATTATATAAATATAAATGTAATATTATATAAATCCAATTCAATAAATTTATTAACATATCTAAATATGCCCTCCCCCTTTATATGGTGCTGAAAATTACACCCATGCTAGGTAAGCAGTCTACCAATGAGCCCTTTTTTAAAATTTTAATTTGAGACATGGTCTCACTAAATTGCCCAGGCTGGCCTTGAACTTGGAATTCTCCTGTCTCAGCCTCTCTAGCAGCAGGTATTACAGCCATTTGTATGTAAGGCAATGTCACATTATTTGTATGTTCCAATATTAAAATCATTTTTCATATTGTGACAGAGAACTCTTATTGTCCATCAGCATTCTCTCTTTTCATTATTTATTTAGATTCTCTCCTTTTTAAATTATAATATTTCCCAGTTTGTGCCTGCCTCATGGCTACCTTAGTCTTCTTGCAGCTTGGAGTGGCAAAAAATGATTTTATGTCCAAAGGGATGGAAAAGAAGTTCTGTGTACAATTTCTGGGTTGTATCTATAAAAAGGAGTAAGGAACCCTACCTACATGCATTCTGAAAAACTTCTCTGCACCCTGAAAAGGATGTTGGGCACATTTGAAGTCTCTGGTCTACCTACTTCTCTACTGTTAGATGCACAAAGAAAAACTCCTCCATCTTCCCCCATTTTATCTTACTTAAGTCACACATTCTAGGGTCACCTTATATAGAATTTAACCTAAAATCTAGTTCCTTCATTTCATATATCTGAAAATAGTATATTCAAACTCTGGGTATTCGGACAAGCCATTGTCTTCCAGGAAATCCAGGGTACAAAACAATGAAAGCATGAAAATACCCACTCAATTTTTAAAGCTCTGCCATAATGTGAATTCTATCATCTTTCTCCACTTAAGCAATTCTTTTAAAAATTCTGAACCAAATCCTTGCTTACTGTAATTTAATACAATTTTTGTTGAACTTTGTATAATTGCCTTTAAATAATTTTTGCACTTTTGAAAACCAGTATTTAATCACATCTACTCCTTTCCTAGGTGAGGAATCCAATGTTTCTAATCTGCTTTTATGGGTCCATTTCTCTTCTCTACAATCAACAAGGTGGCTCCTCCCTGAGCTCTCAGATTTTTGTCATCCTTCAAATACAACAGGATTAAGAATTATACTCTACCAAAGAAACAGGTAACATTCTGTATGGGCAAGGATGTTGCTTTCCATCAATGTTCTATTAATGCCTTCTAGCATGATGTACTAACAGTAAAATATTATAATTAATCTTTACCTAGTGGTTTACTTTAAAATAGAAAGGAAGAAACCTACCAAAAAGATCATGAGAAAAAAATAACTTTTCTGAAAGCATCAGGGTTATTAATAAAACAGGAATAGAAAATAGTAAATATAGCTTTAGGAAATATGCCACCCACTTTCTAACTGTAAAAACATGCTTGGACTCACCAAATAATAAGATTCCACACAATCTATGTAAATGAAATAGATGAATTAGTAGCTCACAGCGAAAGTTTGCTGTTAGTAAATGAGTGGATGTTCCCAGGGTGAGATAAGAACAAATTGCTGACTATTCAATTAATGACAAACAGCATGAGAATTAAAATATATCCAAACTGCTTTTAAGTACTGTATACAATTTTAAATAAGTTTGCCTATGATTTCCATAAAGTTAGAAATCTGTTCCTTTTCATTAGATTATGAAACCAAGAAGTAACCACTCAAATGAAGAAATAAAACTAGCATAAACATCTTTAGGATAATTTTCTTAGCAGATGAAATAACCAAATTCAAACTGGTATGATATGGGGTGCACTAAAAGTAGGGTATAAATAAGAGTCTATTCATATTGATTATGGACCTAAAAATTCATAGTGCAAAATGAATTTAAAAGATGTTGAATAATCTGAAAGTGACAAGGATAACTCTCACTTTCTTAATACAATGATTCAAAATATTTTCTTCAGTGCAATGCCTCAGATTGTACCAGACAGAAAAATTTAAAATGTATTTTATTGTGTTGTCTTTATCACTATAGTCAGTATATCAACAGTTTATTGTAAATTTTGTTGTCTAGGGGCATAAAGAAAAAGTAGCAGCCAGGTGTGATGCTGCACCTATAATCCCAGTACTTGGGAGTTTGAGACAAGAGGATCACCATGAGTCTGAGGTCAGCTAGGTCAAGAGGATCATTGTGAGTCTGAGGTCAGCTTGAGATACATGAGTTCAAGGCCAGCCTGAACTACATAATGAGGCCCTGTCTAGCAAAAAAAACCCAATGTGACAGAATGCATCCTAATAGCTAACAGAAAATAAATTTGTTACTTCTGAAAATCTTGTATGATATTCAGAAAAAAAAGAGAAAGGCTCCACAATTAGACATAGAAAATGCCATCTATAAACAAAAACAGAACACAGAACTAAGACTCAGGACAGTGGCTGAGATTCTTCCACTCATTTATGACCTTGAAGAAGTCCTTTGATAGGTCTCTGGATCTTGGTTTCTCCATCTCCCAAATGGTTTGGATTGGTGGTGATGCCAGTACAAATGAGTGAACCAGATTTGTACTTTCCAAACATAGCATCATTCACCTAAGGAAAAATAAATTCCTGAGCCCAACTTCCAGGGCAAACTCAATACTAATTCATGTCCAGGTCAAGGAATTGGAATCTACACCTATTTGTTAAAGCTTCCCAGATAATTAGGAATGATTAGCCAATTTTGACAATCACTATACTAAATGATCTAGCATATCTCTGCTAGATACACTTGAAAAAATGCATTTTTTTCTGAAAAGTATAAAAGGAAGCATTCTCATGAAGGAAAGCTATGGAATAATATAACCTGGTAGTCAGTGATTTTTAGTTTGATCCTTTTTCTTGGATAACCTGAGATATAATGAAAAATATTTTATATAGTTTATGAACTGCCTGGAATAAGAAGCAAATCATAAAAACAGAGAAGTATATGAAAAGATACCTGCTTTATTATAAACATTTACTTTATTAATCCTAGTAACCACTGGCAGCTCCTCCCATGGAAGCCAGAACTTGGCCAGAAGACCCTCCATTCAGTAAAACACATAAATTATCCACAGCTTCATTCCCAAAGTTTGATTTCTGATGAGACTGATATTAGAGCTGAGAGGACACTCAAAGAAGGCCAGCAATCATGAGACAGTAACACTAACATTACTGAAGGGTTCTACTTGATTAAATCAGAAGAATCAAAAGATAAACAATTTTAAAAGTCTCCCAAATATTTTCTATACCATTTTCAAAATTGATTTGATGATCTAATTTAAAGAAACTATTGGAATGTGGCGACTATCTCCAAATCTGGAAATATTGATACAACTGCCTTTACTTTTGGAATTCTATTTATTTGTCCAGATTAGTGGCTTATTTTTCTCCATTTTTCAAAAAACCCAATTTGGAATACATATTCTTTATGCCAATTGTTTCAGATGGATATAGGCACATATGGGCAACTTTTCACTCAGAAATCCCAATTTCTCTAGTAGATCCTCTTCCTTCTCCTCCTTCCTTCCTCCTTCCTCTTTCCTTCTTCCTCTTCCTCCTCCCACCTTCCCCCTTCCTTTTTCTTTCTCTTCTTCCTCTTCCTTCTCCTCCTCTTCCTCCTTCTTTCCCTCCCTCCCTTCCCTTCTTTTAAAATGATTCTAATTACACCAAATGCACTAGAGATGTCTAGAAATTTCTTTGTTACATCATTTCTTTTAGTACCAGGGATCGAACTTGGGACCTTGCACTTGCAAGGCAGGTGGCAGAACCACTGAGCTAAATCCCTGGACCCCTGTTACAGCATTTCTTTAGTCTCCCTTCTTTCTTTACTTTGTGCTCATTTTTCTAAGTACAAGGTGAAAGATACAACCAGATTGAGTTATTATCTTTTTGAAAAACACCTCTGTTGTGATGGAGATGAGAACGCAAAGGGGCTTGTTAAGATTTGGGATGATGGTTCACAACTCAGGAAAATAGGATAAGGATATAGTAAGTTAGCTGCAAATTGTCAGTCCTAAGAATGTATTCCTTCCTACACATAACCACTACAAGAACTTTTCCACAAGCGCCTACCTTGAATCCAGATCTGCTTGAAATACCTGCACCATTTTGTTGGCCTGTTTTTACTATTACAACTTTAATTTATCAGAGTTCACTCTGGTTCCTCTTTGGATCTTTAGGTAGGGCCTCCTCAGTGCACTGTTACTATGCAATAATTCCAATGTGGTTATGTGTGATTACTAAAGAATCCAAAGGTATGAGGTGTGATCTAAAAACACAGCGAATGTATACATTTTTAAAAAAATTTATTAAAGTAAAAGACATTGGCATGAATCCACCCCAAAATACTCCCCCTTGCTTAAAACACACTTATCCCATAGTTCTTGCCAGTTTCTCAAGCAGTTTTGGAAATCCTTTTTTGTGAGTCTCTTTTAATTGTGTGGTCATGGCTGCCTTTATATATCAATTGAAAATATTTAACTTTGATGGTCATTTTGATCTTGGGGAAGAGCCAGAAGTCACACAGAGCCAGACCTGGTGGATGAGGACACATGGTAATGTTTCTATGAGTCTGCTTTTCCACTGGATGGCCATTTGCAGCACCATTCACTGTATTTTTGATTGCACCTCATGAACATACAAAAGAGGACTTCCAGAACTGCTTCAAAAAGTGGCAAGAATGAAGTAAGTGTGTTCAGACCAAGGGGGAGTATTTTGAGAGGCATTAATGGCAATGTGCCTTTTACTATAATAATATTTTAAAATTTAAATAGTTATCATATATTTTGATCACCTTTATGTTTTATCATCTCAGGATAGATAAAAAGAAGGTAAATGATGTGATAAAAGTATAACAAGAGGTACAGAACAATTATAATTTAACATACAAGGTGATGAACTGTATCATACTTAATTTTGTATTTTAAATTTTAAAATTCATAAATTTCTATCTAAAATTCTCTATGCATAAGCATTGGCCTCTCTTCTCTCTAGTAACGACATATACATTGATCATACTCTATCTACAATGGAAAAGAGGGAGAAATTGATCAAGCTACATACTTTTCATGAAGTTACAAAATCTCCTAGAGTTAGAATTTTTTTTTCAACCACGGTACACAGAATATATTCACCATCAATTAAAGCACCACAGAGTAGAACCACCATCAAATTCTGACAAAATAACAGGAAAGAAAAACTTTCTCTACACATAGCCTGACATTTCAAGCACTGGATTTAAAAATTACTTTCTCAGGAAGTAACTGTATTGTCAAAACTACTTTCATAGCATATTATATTCCTTTACTTATATCTCTTTCTACAGGGGCTAAACATTTAGATATGTCATAAAATCAAACTAAATGAAGTTATTTAAAATAGAATAAAATAAAACCAAAATCAAAATAACATGTCTATGGTCATATTCTGGATTAGATGAAGCCTATCCTCATGACAGGCTGTTAATATACAACTTTTTGTTTTGTATATTCTGTCTCAGTATTAACTTGGTTTATTAGCAAAAGCCAAAATATATTTATTTAAGGAATAGGTTAAGCCTAGATTGGTTTGTTTTGTGGCTTCCTGTCCTCCCTGAAAATGGTCCAAAGTCATCATTGTGAAATGCAAATATTACTCCTGTTGGCAATGTTGCTTTTTTATCCTCTCTTTATTGCTTTTCTTCTTCCTCTAATTTTTACTTTAGAGCATTTTTATTTTAGGCTAAGTACTGGCTTGTTTATTTTAAAATGTATTAACATTAGTTGTCTAAATGATATATGAATTATTTCCTGGTATTAAATACTGAAGTAAAATATGTGAGTATTATTAGTGACCAAGAAATTTATTTCAATCAACTACTAATATTGTTAATTATTTAAAATGTTGATATGCTATAGCATAAACTTTCATTGCACATATGGTTTTGAGGTAAATGATGGGAAATGCCAAGGTTGTGATATTGAAAAAGAAACCAAAATTAATGCTAGAATAACTATGTAGTATAATGGTGATAAAACTCCAAAGACAAGCTGACCACTGTTTACTTTTTAGTTTTTGGTTTTATACCTTTAAAATTTGAAAGAGCTTCAACAAGAACACTGTTTACTTAAAACTTTATGACTCTGCGTATATTATAAATAATAATAAGTTAAAAA